TCAGCAGTGATACCCTTGTTCCACATTGTCTTCTTAATCTAACTTGCATTTCTGGAAGTTCTCTGTCAGTATACTGCTGCAACCATTTTTTAATTATCTTCAGCAAGATTTTACTTGTGTGATATTAATGATACTGTTCAGTAATTTCCACATTCTGTTGGATCATCTTTCTTTGGAATAAGTACATACATGGATCTTTTCAGGTCAGTTGGCCAGATAGCTGTATTCCAAATTTCTTGTCATATATGAGTGAGTACCACCAATGCAGCGTTTGTTGAAACATCTCGATGGGTATTCCATCAATTCCTGGAGCCTTGTTCTTCTCTAGTTCCTTCAGTGCAGCTTTGACTTCTTCCTTCCTTTGACTTCCTTCCTTCCTTCCTTCCTTCTTCCATTGGTTCTTGATTATATGCCACCTCCTGAAATGGATGAACATTGACCAATTCTTTTTTGTACAGTGACTTTGTGTATTTCTTCCATCTTCTTTTGATGTTTCCTGAATCGTTTAGTATTTTGCCCATAGAATCTTTCAGTATTGCAGCTAAAGCCTTAAATTTTTTCTTCAGTTCTTTCAACTTAACAAATGCTAAATGTGTTCTTCCCTTTCTATTTTCTAACTCCCGGTCTTTGCACACTTCATTATAATAATTGTCTTTGTCTTCTCGAGCTGTTCTTTGAAATCTTCTATTCAGCTCTTTTATCTTTCCATTTCTTCAATTTGCTTTAGCTACTCTCCATTCAAGAAAGTTTCAGAGTCCCTTCTGGCATCCATTGTGGTCCTTTTTTCCTTTCTTGTCTTTTTAATGACCCTTTGCTTTCTTCATGGATTATATTCTTGATGTCATCTCACAATTCCTCTGGTTTTCGGTCATTGGTGGTCAGTGCATCAAATCTGTTCTTTAGGTGGTGTCTAAATTCAGGAAGAATATAATGAAGGTCATGTTTTGGCTCTCATGGGCTTGTTTTAATTATCGTCAGCTACAACTTGAACTTGCAAATGAGCAGTTGATGTTCTGTTTCACAGTCAGCTCCTGGCCTTGTTTTAACTAAAGATATTGAGCATCTTCATCACTTCTTTCTACAGAAGTATTCCTGTGTATTCCATCTGGTGAAGTCCATGTATAGAGTCATTGTTTGTGTTGTTGAAAAAGGTTTTTGCCATGAATAAGTCATTGGTCTTGCAGTATTCTGTCATGCAATCTCCAGTGTTATTTCTGTTACCAAGGCCATATTTTCCAACTACCAGTGATTCTTCTTTGTTTCCAACTTTTAGATTCTAGTCACCAGTGATAGTCAACACATCTTTATTGTATGTTTGGTCAATTTCAGACTGCAGAAATTGGTAAAAAAATTTCAATATCCTCATCTTTGGCTGTGCTTTTTGCGTAAATTTGAGTAATAGTGTTATTATCTGGTCTTTCTTGTAGGCGTTTGGATAGTATACTATCACTGATAGCATTGTACTTCAGGATAGCTGTTGATAAGTTTTTTGTGATGGTGAACGCCATGCCCTTCCTCTAGAATTTGTCATTCCCAGCATAGCAGATCATATGGTTGTCTGATTCAAACAAAATGACAAAAGGTAGTCCATTTCTGCTCACTAATTTCTAGGATATCGATCTTTATGTGTTCCATTTCATTTTTGACAATTTCCAATTTTCTTAGATTTATACTTCATACATTACATGTTCTGATTATTAATGGATGCTTGCTGCTGTTTCTTCCTATTTTGAGTCTTTCCACATCCACAAATGGAGGTCACAAAAGGTTTACTCCATCCATTTTTACAGTTGGCTTTACTTTGAGTGAGCAGCTCTTCCCCTGTTGTATTTTGAGTGCCTTCCGACCTGAGGGCCTCATCTTTAGCACTGTATCGGACAATGTTTTAGGGCTGTTCATAAAGTTTTCCAGTAGTATATCAGACAGTGTTTCACTGCTCTTCATAAGGTTTTCACTGGCCGATTTTTTGAGAAGTGGATGGCCTCTTCTTTCTTCTGAATCTATCTTAGTTTGTAAGCTTCACTGAAATCTGTTCATGATGGGTGACCTGCTGGTATTTTAAATACTGGTGGCATAGCCTCCATCCTCAAAGCAACACACAAGCCACCACAGTTGGACAAACTGATAGACAAGTGGTAGAGCCTATTCTTAGGTCCCTGGAATCTGAATGAGAATGCTTTCACTTTCAATATCCAAAATGGCCACCGCTTGTAGATATTCAAAATGGCTACGCCCAGTTTCCACTTGTAAACATTCAAAATTCCTGCACTCTCTGGACAGCCAAAAGTCCACAGCTCAGTTTGTATTCTTTGCTGTTTCCTTTTTCAGTCATCAGCCACCAGTGCAGTCATCCATGCAGCCCTTCACAAGCGTGGCCAATTTTTAGGTTAATTCTCAGGTTCTAACACAACTTGAAAATATTCAGTCTGTCCATGCTGTCAGGTAGTTGTCAGAGCAACTCTGTTTGTCGTCTTCTCTGTTTGTTTTCATTCTGATTCTTCTCAAAAAAAATCAAACTCACAGTGTGTAATCTACTTCTGTATCCTTTCTGTCAAAGCTCAAGCCTCAGGATTATTTTGTGTATCTATGTCAATTGGTTTCTCTTTTCTTTGTTGAAGATGGTGTGTGTAGCTTGTCTGCCTATTATGACTTCTTACTGGAAGTCCCCTTATCACGTAATGTTGACCATGTATTTCCCTAATGGCAGCTACCACTTGTGAAGTTCTTGCCTTGTCCATGCTGGTTTTCCTCAGTTTCTGTGTCAGAACATTTTGATGATGAACTTTTACACCTAGCACAAAAATAGTGCCTGACATATAGTAGATTCTGAACAAGTCTATTGAAGGGATGGCTTTCAGATGATATAATTAGAAAACTGTCATACTTTACCCTATGAAATATGTCTACATTTATATCCAGCTTCTTCACTTTCTCTGTAAATCCTTGATGTTAAACCTACTTTTGTCCTTCTTCAAACTATGCTGTCTGGATATTTAAACTCTGAACACATTTTCTCTAATTAGAGAGAGAGAAAACCTGTTTGCATCACAAGACTGTTAATAAAATTATAGTTATGCAAGCTAGCTTTATTAGGTGGAATACAGTGTTTGTTAGAACAAATTAGTTTTTGGACATCTTTCTGATATCCCAGTTAGAAGGGATTTTATTTGTGTAACATTTAGTGTCTTCTCATACATAAATTTATTTCCATTTGTACTTTACCTCCCCAACTAATTTTCTCAGGATTAGGAACTGAATTCTTTACATTTTTCTCTCCTACACTGCTAAACAAGATGCCTCATAATTAAAACCCAAATCCTATTGCCATTGATTTGTTTCTAACTCATAGTGACCCTATAATCTCATAAAGTAATAGTCAAAATTGACTGGTGAGCATAGACATCATTTTCTTTGCTCTAGAGACTACATGGGATAGATACAAAATGGAAAGTATAGAAATAGAAATTTAAAATTTAACATGGGGGAGGGGCAATTAAATCCTTATTGGGTTATTCCCAACTTTACCATTCCTTGATGACATTAGAACAGCCCTACCTCATTGTATAAATGGTTTTTTTTTGTTTGTTTGTTTTCTCAACTTTTTGTGATTTGGGTGAAATTTTACAAAGCAGATTTGTTTTACATTCAGTAGTTCATACACATTTTGTTTGGTGACACTCCTTATCTTCTCTGCATGTAACAGCTCTCTTCCCCTTTCCTCCCTGTGGTTACTCTTTGCCTGTGTCCTCTCTGCCTGTGCATTCCTCCTTCCCTACCTTTTTCCCGATGCACATGCTGCCCTTCTGATCTCCCCTGGTTGATTGTTCTAAGGAGGCATTTCCCTGGTGTAGGTATTCGATTCGTAGGCCTGTCTATTGTTTGGCTGAGAGTTAAGTCATGGTATAAAAATAAAAAACAAAAACACTCACTTCTATTGGGTCAATTTCCAACTCATAGCAGCTCCCTTTGGGTTACCGAGGCGGTAAATAATTCCAGGCCAGAAAGGTGACTTGGGGCCCTAGTCTCAGGGTTTCACCACTCTCTATCAGACCGGTAAGCCTAGTCTTTGAATAGATACATTTTTATACCTTGCATTTGTTTTAGAAAGATTTAAGGCAGTTGATAATGATACACAAGTTATGGCAGGGTGACCAACTGCAAATATACTAAAGGACAAAAAAAAATAAGGCATTAAAATTGAGCTAGAGATAAGGCTAATAAAAACATTCAAAAAGTTTTGTATATAGTTTATTATAGACTACAGTTTTAGCTTTGAGGATTCTAATAACCAATTCAGACAGGTTCAAACACATCTGTTTTTAGCATCTGTTTTTGCTAATTTTGTTTTAATAATTAAAACTTCAAATGAGTATTTTTTAATTCTCTATTTTAATGATAAAATCATAACTCATGGTCTCATTTGAATATATCAGCTTTGTCTGGCTTTGAACGGAATGTGAGGATTTATGATACTAAAATCCTCAAGTTCTCTTTTTAAGAATGACAGTTTTGTTTTCTTTTTTTTAATGGCCAGCCTAACTATATACATATTTTGAAAAGTTTAATACTTTTAATGTCAGCTAAAGCTCTTGAATTTATACAGACAATCCCTCGGTTATGAGAATGTGACTCATACCTACTTAGACTCGTGGACAATTCTTACTTACTTGCCCTGTAATATTGCATAAGTTTGCCCTCACTTTGAAATAATTAGACTAACCCCTACTTCCAATAAATTCTTAATTACAGTCACCTTCACTTGCTGTGCATACAGCTTTTAAATCATTCAAAAGACTTCCAGCTTTTTCTTGCACAAAAAGTAGGCTGTATGAGAACCATATACACCCTGTCGGACCTATAAATTCTCTTAAGACGCAGGAATGGATCTTGTAACCTGGGGACTCCTTGTACTAGATAATGCATGTTAAAAACTAATGTACTCTGGGAAGACCTTATTCTGTTACTGGCTCTAATTTTTTTTTTTTAATTTTATTTTAAAGGTATTGTCCTTCCTGTAAAACGGATTCCAGTGAAGTTGTGAAGGCTGGTGAAAGACTTAAGATGAGTAAAAAGAAAGCAAAGATGCCATCAGCTAGTACTGAAAGCCGGAGAGATTGGGGCAGGGTAAAGAATAAATTCTCCCTTTCTTCTTAGTAGCAAGTTATAGTTTCTTAGTGAAATAGTTACAATGGCATAAAAGATTAGCCAATATAGTTAATTGTTGGTATCACTAATACTTGAATTATATAAATATTGTCTGTTTCATTCACATTTTGTGGGTATTAACGACTTTCTTTAAAATTTGAACAAAACTGATTTCTCAGCTTGTTTTGTAACTTTAGGGAATGGCCTGTGTTGGTCGTACTAGAGAATGTACTATTGTCCCTTCTAATCATTATGGACCTATTCCTGGGATTCCTGTTGGATCAACTTGGAGATTTAGAGTTCAGGTATGTTTTAAAATTGGCTTAGTTTGCAGGGGAAAATTGTATATAGTTCAAACCATAGCAGTGTTAATACCTATTGATGATAAATGGACTAACCTAACTAGTAATGAGTAGCATTTAGTTGCTGATATGAAAGATTTCCTTTAGGATAGGTAAATTAATAGGCATGGAGTTAGGCATCAGCTATGCCTTTTCATCCCTTTGCTTTACTGTTGTAGTACAGTTAAGGTAGCTAATGTTCTGGTTAAGCTTTCTGAAGAATATTTTCTTGCTGACAGTTTAATATCTGAAATTTCTTTGAATCATGAAAATTCTCATTCAGTGCAGTTGAACCCTAAGAACTCTCACTTCAGGTGTTTTCTTTGGGGCTTATCCTCCTAAGTGAATCCAAGGATAAAATCAATTTCCCTTACAGAAGTACTGGGTGGCTCATTGTATTGATTTCTAGTTTCTTCTTTAGAAAGGTAATTCTGTCATTATGGAAAACTTAATGTGAAAGGGAAAAAAAAATCTCTTGAGTATAGTAATTTACCATTAGCAACATTCTGAACTTTGCTGTAAACAAGAGGTTTTTCATTATCCCACACAGAGACTCAGAACCTCCTAAGCAAAAGTTCTTCCTTCCCCTTTCCGACCTATCCTGGGTAACTATTAATAAACTTTGGTTGCTATACATTTGCCTATTCTAGATATTTTGTAAAAGTGGGATTGTAGTATTTGTCCTCTTATGTCTGACTTATTTCACTTATAATATTTTCAGGGTTCATCTGTGTTGTAGCATGTATCAGAACTTCAGTCTCTTCATGGCTGATAATCTGTGTGTGTGTGTGTGTATACACACACATATTACATTTTATTTATCCATTCATCTGTTCTGCTTTTGTTATATACCCAGGAGTGAAATTGCTGTGCCATATGGTAATTGTATGTTTAACTTTTTGAGGAACCACCACACTGTTGGAAAATAAAGTTGTAGAAAGAAGAAATAGTTTGTACAAAGACCTTGGGTTGAATTGGAAGTATGCTATATATGTTTAAAGAACATCAAGAACGCCAGTGTGGCTGAAATGGAGTGAATGAGATGTATCAAAAGGCAACAGAAGGCCAGATGGGGGTAGAGTCTTGAAGGCCATTGTAAGGACTTTGGTTCTACTTTGTAAAGCTTTTCATTGTAAGTTTGTCTTTAAAGTCAGGTTTATTGAGGTATAATTTACAGAGTAAGTTTTTTATTTTGTATGAGATGCAGTGCCAGTGGAGGGTTTTGAGGATTACTCTGGGTGCTCTGGTGAGAATGGACGGTAAGGGCAAGATCAGAAGTGGAAAATCACTTAGGAGACTGTCATAATAACCAGGCAAGATGTCCTGGTGGCTTGGAACAGGTGGTAGTGGTAAATGGGTTAAGGTCGAAATGGATTCTGAAAGTATTCTCAAGTAGAACCTATAGGATCTCCTGATGGACTATGTGTGTCGTATATGAATTAGAAGTCTGCGTTAACTGTAAAGTTGTTGACTTGAGCCGCTAGAAGGATAGAGTTGCTGTTTGGGAAGTGGAGAAGATTCAGAAGAACAGATTTATTTTTGTCAGGTTGGTGAGGAGAGGAGTCAGGAGTTCAATTTGAAATTCTAGTAATAGATTCAAATGGCGATGAAGAGTAGACTGAATGAATGAGACTAGATAGAATTCAGAAGAGGAGCCCAATAGGAAATGCTCATTTAGAGTAGTCAGTGTATCAGTGGACCTGATATCTAAAGCTATAAGACCAGATAAAATCATCTTTGGAGTAAATGCCATTACTGTCATTAATATCACATCCAAGTAAAATTTTGCTGAAGATAATTCAAAAACAATTGCAGCAGTATATCCACAGGGAACTTTTAGAAATTCAAGCCAGATTCAGAAAAGGATGTGGAACAAGGGATATCATTGCTGATGTCAAATTGATCTTGGCTGAAAGCAGAGAATACCAGAAAGATTTATTACCTGAATTTTATTGACTATGCAAAGGCATTTGACTATGTGGATCATAACAAATTATGGATGATGTTACAAAGAGTGGGAGTTCCAGAGCACTTAATTGTGCTCCTGAGGAACCTGTGTGTAGAACAAGAGGTAGTCATTCAAACAGAACAAGGGAATATTACATGGTTTAAAATCCAGAAGGGTATGCATCAAGGCTATATTCTTTCAACATACTTACTCAATCTGTATACTAAGCAAATAATCGGAAAAGCTAGACTATATGAAGAACATGGCATCATGATTGGAAGACTCATTAACTTTCGATAAGCAGGTGACACAGGGTGCTTGCTGAAAGTGAAGATGACTTGAAGCACTTACTAATGAAGATCAAAGATAAAGCCTTCAGTATGGATTATACTTTAACTTAAAGAAAACAAAAATCCTCACAATTAGACCAGTAAGCAATATCATAATAAATGGAGGAAAAATTGAAGTTGTTAATGATTTCATTTTATTTGGATCTGCAGTCAGTGTCCATGGAAGCAGTAGTACAAAATTAACCAACATATTGCATTGGACAATGCTGCAAAAGACCTCTTCAAAGTGTTAAAAGCAGTGATGTCACTTTGAGAACCAAGATGTGTTTGACCCAAGCTGTGGTATTTTCAGTCACTTCATATGCATGCAAAAGCCGGTTAGGAAGATCAAAAAAAAAAAATTGATGCCTTTGAAATATGATATTGACCGAGAATATTGAATATACCATGGACTACCAGAGGAACAAATAAATCTGTCTTGGAAGACATACAGCCAGAATGCTCCTTAGAAGCAAGGATCATGAGACTTTCTCACATACTTTGAACAAATTATTGGGAAGAACCAGTTCCTGGAGAAGGACATCATGCTTGGTAAAGTAAAGCAAAAAAGAGGAAGACCCTCAATGATATGGATTGACACAGTGGCTGCAATGGCCTCACATATGGTGATGCTTGAGAGAATGGTACAGGACTGGGCAGTGTTTTATTCTTTTATACATAGGGTCAATATGAATTAGAACCAACTAGATGGCACCTAACAACAGCAGCAACAATATGGAGTAAGTATAAGCAGAATAGGCTGAGGCATGAGCCATGGGACGCTTCAGTGTTTACAGTTGGAGATGATTGTGGTGGTGGAACAACAGCTAGCAAGAGTTAGGGAGAAAACTAGGAGTGGTATCCAAAAAGCCAAATGAAGGATTTTTTATTAAAGAGGGAGTGATGAGATGTCTAGTACTGCTAAAGAATCAAGTGAGACACCAGTAGAAATGGACCATTGGATTTAGCTACATGGAGATCATTGATAACTTTGTCAAGAGTAGTTTTAGTATGGGTAGAAATAAAAGCCTGATTGTATTTAAGGAAAGGAGAAGATTGGGAAATAAAAGTTACAGACAAATCTTGGGTTTTGATATAAAGGAAAGGAGAGGAATAGGATGGTTGGGAGATTTTCTTTAAAGGTGGTACATGATGCTGCCTCTTCGTATGGTGGAAATGATCTAGTAAAACCAAAAAACCAAACACACCACCGTCAAGTTGATTCCAACTCATGGTGATCCTATAGAACAGAGTAGAATTGCCCAAAAGGATTTTCAAGGCTATAAATCTATGAAAATAGACTGCTTCATCTTTTCATGCAGAGCAGAGCAGCTGGTAGGTTCAAGCCTCCAATCTTTTGGTTAGCAGCCAAATGCTTTAACTGCTGTACCACCCAGAACACCTGATGATCTAGTGTGTGTGTGTTGGAGGGGGGGGGATACAAGATAGAGGATAGCTAGAATGTTGACCCTTGAGGGCTTTCTCTATTCATTCATTGGATATGCAATAGGTCCTTCATCCCCAAACCTTCTGCTAATCCTGCATTATAATATCTACTACCAAGAGCACTTCTCTGTTCTATTTATTTTAATAGCCACTTACTCTTATTTGCATATGGTATCTTTTTTTTTTAATCTACAGATGTTAATGTTTTGTTTCTTTGTTTTCTTTTCCTATATTATCTTTCCTCAGGCATTCTTCTGAGTTGTTTTGGCCTCACCTTTCATCTTAGAAGCTTTTCTCAAATACCTTGTTATCCTTGTCTTACCATATTTAAGAGTGAGGCACTAACATGCTGATTAGGTCAGCTATGTGGGCAGAACTTGTGGACTGCACTTTAGGATGATAAGGAAAGAGATAGGTCTTTTATTGATAACCTCAGCTGAAGATAATCTGTAGGACTGAGCGCTTTGCTCACAGAGAAAGTAATCTGTTAGCCTCTTGGTGAGGGATATGGGCCTGGCTGCCAGTATTTGGGGAACTAGCATAGTACCTAAGGAACTTGACTGCTAACCAGAAGGCTGGTGGTTCAAACCCACCAGCCACTCCTTGGAAGGAAGGTTGGGCAATCTACTTCTGTAGTGATAC